ATGAGGACATTGACAAGATAGATAGTGAATATGTATTCCTTCTTAGTAACCAAATCCAGAACAATTGGACATAATCTTTAAAATTAAAATTAACCCTGTTAACAGTGAATCCCAGGAACATTTTTACAGGTAGAGTTGTGGGAATACAATGTGCAATGCTTCTGCTGGGGAAACATGTGCAATCTATCAACTGAGCAGTTTATAAGGGAGATAGATAGATTCTTGGGAAGTAATAATATTTAAAAAATTTGAGCAAAGGCAGGTAAAAGAAATTGGAAAAGATGATACTAAGATAATGGAACAAACTAGATGGTCTGAATAGCCAGCTCCTATTTCTAATTCCAGCAACTCCAAAAATGTCTAGTTGAGGTCAGTGAACTCAAAATAGACCAGGAATTAAACTTGTTTCTATTTTGCTTTTGAACCTTTAGGTGAGGCTTGTGATGGCAACAGACATCATATGACCACCATTACTGGCACTCAAAACATTTCCGAAAAGTTGGTTAAGATGTATCAACAACTTGCATTTATACAGTGCCCTTTATGGAGGGTAATATCTCAGAGATCTTGATAGGAATGGGATTGAGCCGAGGGGAGTGGCCATAGATGTGCAAGAGATAAGATGTTGATCATAGGATTGACATGAATTCATGAGAAAGACATCCTGACAGCTGATTCAGTCAATCTACAGATGGTGGCCCACTATCACAACATATGGACAGGAGTTTTAGGGAAGAGCACAGAAGCCAGAATTAAATCAAAATTTATGAGTGATGTGGAGGGGGAAGTAAACAAAGCAACGTAGTCAGAGGCAATAGACCAGCAGATTTGTAACAGCTTCCTGGAGGATGCAGAGCCATTTAGCTCATTTGGAATAATCCTTGCATTTCATAGTGCCTATAATGTTGAAATGATTCAAAGGGCTTTACAGATAATTGCTATCAAACAGTTACTGTGCATTTGCAGGCAAAACATGATAGCATTAGAAGGAGGCAAGTGAGACCATTGCTAACATCTGAAGAGTTTGTTAATGAAGCTATTTTGTTAATATAATTCAGTACTCAGATGCATTCTGTAATTTTTTTTCACATGCGTCAGTAGATCTAATAACATTGATTTATTTACCTCATCCAAATTATCACCACACCATTTGTGTATAGTAAACCTTTAGTACTACAATTGCACATAATAGAACAAATGCCCAGCCCACATATTGAGAAGCAGTTGCTAACAAAAAATTATTTCAACATTTCCACCCACAAAAGGTATGTGGTACAATCAATGGAAAAAAATCTTGCATCATGTAGTGAAAATCAAATGCATCTCCAAACATCGGTTTGGTGGATAATCTTCTCTGCTTGTTTAAAGCTCCTCCATAAAATAAATTTGCAGCCACTGCACTTTACAGTCTGTCATATGAAGTGCTCTGAGATGTCCTAATGACGTGAATAATGCTACACCAAATGCAAAGATTGTCATTATTATTATTATTCAATAGGTGTGTATTCAGCAGTTTAAATATGCACTTAAAACCTTACTTAAACAGGCCACATGAACTGCTGTGAAGGTGATTTAAAATGATACGTGGTGTAGGATAGGGTGTGACTACGGAGCTAAGATCATTGATGGAGCACAGTAAATGACATTTCTCTCCTGCACTATCCTGTACCTGACATGGAAGTGATTTATACTAAAAATAAAAAGCAGGAATAGGAAAATGTTCCGTTGTCCTGCACAAATGTACCTCTGGCCTTAAAAAGCATATAATACTCTCAAAATAAAATGCATTTGTAAGGAAAGGGGCTGGGTATATTTTCTGCATTCCAAATCTTGAAAAAAAATACCAGGAATGATTCCTGGTAAATGTACTGTGTTTGTCAGCTTATGTAATCTTACTGTTTACTGAACAGTAACTGAACCCCTCCACCCCCACCTTCTTCAAAGGCCCGACTATCTCAATGAGCCTCACTCAAATTAAATTATCTCATGGTCACCCTGCACACAGGGCGAAAGAACCAAATCTTGTCCAAGAAACACTGAAGAAATGATCAGAAATATACAGCTGTCTTTACTGACATAAAATCTGGACTCATCCTCCCATGAAACCATAGATATAATTGAAAATATTGGTTGTGCAGTAATGATTTGGTTTATAATATCAATGAGCATCAGAAAAACTATGTTGCTAAAATAAAATAGCAATAATTCTAGTTCTGTACATGAGTACTTTGTGTCCGTCCGTTACTGTCTACAATAATATTGGGGTTACATTACTGTCTTCCTACTTTGCGTTTCACCAAACGGTGCTGCACTATGTATCAGAAGAACCTAATGGTTTGAAAATAAAGGAAGAAACCCAAGCAATTCAAAGATACTGTCCTTTTCCCACCTTTTCTGGTACCGCTACCAAACCTCCTTCAATATAAACTATAATTTGACACTGAAAATTGAAGACCATTAAACTACCATCTTGCCTTATTGCTGGAAACGCCAAGGATTCCTCTAAATGGAAAACGATTTACTTTCTGGGGATCCTGCTTTCTCTGCAGCCTCTGATATTTAGCCCTTTTCTACTAAACAACCAGTTTGTCAAATTAGTATGTTTACAGTAAGAGCAGAGAGTGTGGTATGTATGAGTTCTATGAGGACTTTTGACTGTTGCCGTGAAGCTTCAGTGAGCACAACTCTCCAGAGATCAGGTTCTAGATGTGCCTTTCTGGAGTGGAAAGCGCATAGAGCCTGAGGCCACACATCCCTGAATCACAGACCTGTATTCATGGAGAGTGAGTTAGAAAGCAGCATTGCGCTGCTTATTTTTCTTCAATATTTAATAAGGAAAAACGATGCTCTGTGATAACGTTTTGAAACAAAGCAAAACTCCCCCTCATCGGTTGTCAAGCCTTCAGCAGGAAATCTTATGCTGCCACTCGCAGTAACCTGCCTTAGTTCTAAAAATAAAGATGTACCATATAAACGTGAATGCACTATGTCGATTTATGGTTGTTGCTAAAGCTTTTGAGATTAATATCCAGTTGGCTTTGTTTGGCTGATTTCCTGTGGACAACCTTGAGCAATATTATCGTCTCAGCAAACTTCTCCCTCTCTCGTAATATGTATGCACATAAACAATTACACGCACAAAAACAGACATTAGGAAAATATTAGGAATGATATGTTTGAGCGAAAAGACGGACACATTTTATGAACCTATTTAAGGATACTGAGCTGCACTTCATCTATAGAGTTAGCCATATCAACATACATTACATTTTAAACCCAAATGAATGAATCTCATACTTAACCTCTCATAATGCAAAAGAAAAAATGTATGGGTTTGTTTGTTATACATGAGTGAGATTCGACATATGTCTGAAATCCATAAATACAAAATCTCACATGGACTAATTAGCAACCAATTGCTCCCATAATGTTACTTCTGGTAAAAGTGGAACCATTATGTCAGGAAATATGGAATAATAATAACATTGATTCTTCAATCTAACAACATAAATTACACTTTTTAAACATATATGTTTGAAATGTTCATGAAAGCGAAAATAGTCTGAGTAGAGATGAGGAATACAGAATAATGTCAGCTAACATTGAATTGCAAATTTGGATCAGAACAATTAAAATTGATAATATCCAGTTTATATATGGAAGATCCAGATGTTAAAGCTTGGCTTCGGATCGGGTGGTTAATTCCCCAGACATTGTTAGACTGAACAGGTGACATAAAAACAGAAAGCCATGAAATAAAAATGAGTACGATAAAGAGAGACACCAAAAAAGCTGTAATTTGATGAAGTATTGACTACAAGCTCACTAACTTAGTAAAGTGTTCGCCCTCCTTTTCTTATGCAAAGATAATAATCTTTCCCTATCTCTCTCCAAACAGAATTTCTAGACAAATGAACAAACCTCCATGTTTGCTTATTTCTGCATCTCAGCAGCGTTAAATGGGTTTTATGAATTGCTAGGGTATGAATTGGTGGGATATGAATTGGTGGGATATGAATTGTTGGCGTGAAAGTAATCAAGTTAGCTAAATGGTGAAAAATGTGAACAGAACACATTGTCAGTGGCAGCTGATTTCTTACTTAAATAACCACCACTATGTTTCACATTCAGTAATGACTGTAGGCAGATCGATGGCATTCGGGGTTAGTACTGGTTTGTTAGTTCAATGCACTGCACATGAAATGTATGTTAAAAGTTACATTGCTGCTAAAACTGCCAGAATATACAGCCAGTCAAACTGATAATTGACGCCAGGCCAATCCACACACAATACTGCAATAGGTTTACATTGATATATAATTGTTATTTCTTAAGACACCCCTTACCTTTCGCCTCAGATGATATCATAGAACGATTCGGGATGTCGGCTCGCAATAAAAGGAAATAAATCAAGCTTTAAGGAATCCACCTGCAAAGAAGTTAAAGTGCTGAATGCCTGTGAAATGAGGACGACAGAATTGCATTCTATACTACACTATCCAGAACGGAAATTGTGACTTTTACGGATCTTTATACTGCTGCTACACTTTTAAATACTTACTAAAGCAGTAGAATTTGTGCCCCACACACGCACAAAATTAGATTTGAAGTTTATTCATACATTACAATAAATAGGTGTAATTCTGAATTACATTATCCAATTAAAAATTGGATTAGAAACATTGTGCTATGGAAAGCTAAAGTGCGTATTCTGAAACTTGAATAAAATCGAGATTCAGATATTTTTAACCAAACAGATGTAGTCCCCCTATCTTGGGTTTAAATGATTTAAACCAAAGATAGGAGTGATGAGCCTAGTAGCTGGATATTAAATGTATCTATTCACTTATTGCCCCTCCACAAAAAAGGATAATAAAGAGACCAAGTGTAACAAGTATATTCAGACATTGTTTTTATTAATAGTAAATAGTTCCACTAATCCATCTGATACTACATAGGTGGCCCATTTTATACCAGGAGTCATCTTGGCTGATAGTATCCTCTGAATTGTTTGTTTTACATTTGATCAACATCCTAAGGACAATTCATGTATAATTAATGTGATTTTTTTTTCTCCTTTTACTTTGGCTGGACTTTGCGCATTCCTTTCTCCCTATAAAATAATCCACCAGAACCAAGATTATTTTAAGTCGTTTGCACAATTTGCCAGCAATTGATGAATAATCCATCTAAGAAACTCTTCAAAATTTAATAATGTTAAAAGAAATCTGCATTTAACTTTTGTTGTTAAAATTTGGATCAGAATATAGAAAGAATTGACTTTTTTTTGTAATACTGTTTTATTAAATCTAAACATCAAAATGTCATTTAGATTTTACTCAATAAATGTTGCACAATTACAGGTACTCTGCAATCACAAAGATAAGGTTATAGATATCACTTAGCTAGAAAATAGCAGGAAATACTAAAGAGAATTCACATTTTCCTCAATAAAATTAAAAGCAAACAACGCAAAACTTGAAATAAGGAGAATTGGAGGACTTTCAATAGTTGTGTGTGCGGTAGAAGATCAAAGGATCATTCCAAAGCACATCAATAAATAATTGGGTCAATTTGTTACAATCATCCCTTTGCACGTTATGTACGTTATGTACCTATAGATTACTTTGTCTGCACCCAAACAAGGTAAAAGAACACCACAACAACACAAAAAAATGCTTCCATCGTGCAAAAAATCGTTTTGTGATAAAGCACTTCTTCAAAACGAGCTCACCCCACAGAAACGACACATGTATTTTTTTTCCCCATATTCCAAAAAACACGCCACTGAATTTGGAGCTGTTCTTTTACTTTAAGGCTATATACGACACGAGAGAAAGCATTGCTAGAACATTTAAATCAAAACCGTGACTTTGCTTTTTTTACGCTGTCGAATCGTCAGCTTTGTAGAGAAGATGTAGCAGTCAGTGGAGGTTTGGGTCTCCAGACAGTAATCCGCCCAGGATAACATCCAGTTTCCGCTTTTTTAGCCAGAAATCGTCCTTGTTGGGGAATTCATTTGATATCCTAAAGAGAGCTGTCACCAGAACTACTTAGTACCACGTTGGCCAAGGCAAATGTCACTGATCAAAGAAATTATTCTAATTGGTAGGTAATCAGTCTGTCCCTATGTAGCAGTTAGGAGGATTTGGTATAATAATTTTACTGTTCCATAGCCAGATTGAGAGTGTATTTGGCGACTTGATTCTCTTTCAAAGGGCCGATCCCCTTATAGAGGGAAAACTAAAAATCCAGAAAATGTCGAGTATTTCCATCCTCCCATTAGGTTCCCTCTCTCAAGTTTTAAATAGACTTTGTCTTCTCTTTCCATGTTCAACAGCACTCCATTGCTGGCAGCCTCTCGGGTCACATCCTGATCTCCAGCGAAAGCAGAAATCACAGCCCAGCCGTTCTGCATCAGACTCACCTGAATGAGGAACACAAAGAGTCTCACAACATTGACCTCGCATTAACTGTACCAAATGCACCCTTCCAAATTAGTTCCTATTAGTTATCGTTTTCATTTTATTTACACTGTAATCGCCGCCCTCGGAGTGTCACACAAACGCCATCGTCGGCCCAATCAGTTGTTTTCCCCCATTGCACAACGAGAAAGTTGTTCAGTTTCGTTTGCATCATTTTCCCATTTCCTTACTCTTTCCCCTCTATATTTCCATCTCCCTGTTTGGTTCGCACATCCCTCCTTACTGCCCGCAACCAACGTATGATATTGTTCCAAGTGCATTCTTTTAAAATACCAATTCAAATTCTATTCTGGTTTCATTCTTTTGCATTATCGTAAAGCAACAATTGATTATTGCAGATAAGATCCCCAGTCTCCCACCTGAATTGTCTGCCTATTGTACACCTTGACCACGTGAAAGCTGAAACTGTAAATCCCTTTTCTCGGGGCCATAAATGTACTTGATCCCATATCGAAATGGTTTCCAATGTTAACCAAGACCTGCAAAAAAAAAAGAAGGGACAAAAAAAAAACATTGAAACGAAGGCATTCTGTTCAGTTGGGATATGTGTCATTATTTCTGGGGTGAAGAATTAAGCATCAGGGATTAGTTTGAATAGCGCACAGGATTTGCTCTCCTCCTCCTCGGATTCACTGAGTCTGAAATTCCTCACATTAAAGCCCCACAACGCAGCATTTCCCACGTTAATATCAGTCGTTTCAGGAAAGGGTGACCCACAGCCTTGGCTTTGCGTCAAGTGATTGTTCCCAAATACTTGGAATGGCATTACACGAGTTAAATCCGCGTCCCGCAAACTATAATTCGTGGAAGAATTAGTCGGAAGGCACTTGTCAATTTCAGTTGAAGTTTCACGCGGAAATTCGAGCCAAAGTTTTTTTTTAAAAAAAAAACAAGTGATCCGGGGTGAAGGCACACATTTATTTAAACAATCTCCCGCAATCTCCAAAGCTTCCCCTGCAGTCTATTTACTCGATCACGCCCCATGCAGTGCATTTAAGGGACTATGGGTTTAGAAAACGTTGCATTATTGAAAGAGATAACTGTGCAAAGGCAATATCCCTCAATGGGACCGTCACTAAAACATAAGCTTTAGAGAGAGTGAGTGAACGAGGTTTTTTTTTAAAAAAAAACAGATGTGGTTCCTGTTAAGTGGATCATCCAGATTTTTTCTCCCCGTTCAGTCCATTTCAACAATACATGTTGCATTGAGTGTGTGTAATATAATCATGTTGGGAGTTTGTAACTGGAGCTGGGGTTGAGGAGGGGGAAGCAGGAGGCAAATAGAAAGGGGGCAAATAGAAAGGATGGGAGGTTGGCAGTGAGATGAGAGGACAGACGCGCAAAAACAGATCAACAGATCTGCGTGGACTGGACATGTTGCAAAGTGCAAGGATGTTTCTTCGGGGGGTCTGTGTAACCAGACTGCTGGCAGCAAACTGGACTTACATGGTCGAAGTAGATAGTCATGGTTCTGTTGCTCATTTCGGACGGTTCATGGTTGGTGCTCCGCACGGCTGAAAATGCCACTTTGGCACTGCCGGATCGCACTGAGATTCCCAGGGAAGAGGTGACAGCACCATCCGAGGACGGGTTGGAGTCACACACAACCAGACATTTCCCTTCCAAAACGATCGGCTCTGTCTCATTCTGTCCCAAGGCCAACCCCGTGCAAACCAGCATCAGGCTCAACCCCAGCATGACAACAGATCTTGAGCAGACAAGCATCAGATCCACACGATATTCAGTAATCCGATACAGATCCCTCAGTCACCCTGCACGGATGCTCTCTCTCTCTCTCTCTCTCTCACTCTCGCTCTCTCTCTCTCTCCCCCCGACGCCTTTCCTGCCGACAGTCTCTCCAGTCCAGCCTCCTATAGGATGCAAGAATGTTCCTCAGTTTGTTTGGATGTCACAGCCCTGTAAGAAGACAAAATCAATCCAAAATGCCCAGGCAGAATCCAATGCACCATCCGACACGACAGATCATAGCGTAAGATAAAACTGTTACCTTATGGCTTCTGTTGCATTTTTGCCCTTTGCAAATCAATGGGAAATTCACCCCCTCCCCACCCCACCCCACCACACCCAGCCCCCCCCCCCCCCCAACCCCCCACCCCCCCACCTGCACGTTAAAGTGATCGAGCAATTCTAAAATTGAAGTTGAGTGCTATCTTTCTTTCCCCACTTTCTCTCTCTCTCTCTCTCTCTCTCTCTCCTCTCTTCTCCTCTCCTCCTCTCCCGCGATCTTCCAAGTTGGGATGTGAAGCAGCCGAACGAACGCCTCCCTCAATAAACAACGCCGCCGGGTCGTGCGGATCTTGTGTCAGAGATCATTCCTGCGCTCAGCGTCCCGCATCCATCCTCCACGCAGTCACAGTTCCAGAAAGTTGTCGTGCATTCACTCGCGAAAAAAATTTTTTTTTTTGATATATATACGTAAAAAAAATAATAAAGAAAAACTCCCGAACGATGCCCCTCAAGAAATCCTGGAGCAAATAATCTCGAGGCACTTGTTTCCACCCCCACCCCCCGTTTGAAGCGATCTCAAGTTATAATATAATAATGAGTTGGGTCAAATGTTCAGTGGTGTTTAGCTCTCCCTCACTGTCCAGCGGCTCTACCCTAAAGCGCACTGTCTTTTGCTGACTTCAATGTGCTTTAAACATGACACTTGGTGCTGAAATACCCACACACTGGATGATGGCGTTTACCTGGCAGATGCATGTTGGCATTGACAGTGTGATGGCTCTCGCCCTCCCTCTCTCTCCCTCTCTCCCTCTCTCTCTGTCTCTCTCAAACTGAGGGGTGAGGGGAATGAGCTGGGGATCCGCTGGCAGTCAGAAAGCACGAGTGTCTTTCCCCTCCTCTCATTCTCTCACACACGCCAGCACAGGGCACAGGGCACAGGACACAGGACACGGGCATCCACTGTAACTCAGGTGGGTACCAGCTCAAAGCACTCAGGCAAGACACACCAGCCTTTTTAAACAGCCCTGATCCGTGGCACATCGACCGCTTTACTGTGGCGTCCCCCGACCCTCCCCACAGATATATTAAGAATACTGCACCTATTCGTCACTTCGTGATGTAGGATTTCAAGGTAATTCACCCAAGACCAGTTTCACGTCGGCAGGGAACACACTTGCAGTCAGTGGCTGCTCATATTGATTCAGAACAACTGGGGTCTGACCTCCACAGACACTCATTTATTTAAACTGTGGATAAGATCTAAAGGGCAGGAATCGGTCGTGGAGTTTTCTTTAATTGCAGATAAACTTTGCACGTCTGTTTTATTTTAATGGTGGTGTGAAATTTCCGCATCCCGAAGCTGAATTTTCTTTTTACGTTCAAAAAAAAATAGCAAGAGGTTATTGCATTGTAAACCACATCGCAGAGCTTCAAGTACACTTGCACAAACACGATAAAACATTGTAATTGCCTGAGTGAATTTTATTCCAGGCGTTTGTCCAGACAACATACACGGGCACCACCATGTGGTTACAGGGTGAAATGCTTTTTTACTCTGTTTCCAAACCTTCCTCCCAGGCATTTGGGAACAAAGTCATGGGGCAAAATTTGGTATGTGATAGTTATCACCCGTGAAAATGTTCATATGGCAAATTTCCCTCCAATGTAACAAAATATATGCTTTTACGATCCACGACTGTTTGTGGGACACTGCTGTGTGCAACCGGCTGCAGTGTTTCGCCCACAAAATATACAGTCGATCTACTTTGCAGTATATTCTGTGAAGCGCTTTGAGACACCTCAATGACATGATAAGGCGCTAAGCCAAATGCAAGGATTGTTATTATTTTAAACATCTATAGAACTGACAACATGTGTAGGATATTGGTTTGAAAGACTCCTGTTTTAAGGTATGGGGCCATGTTGGTAACTGGGGCAGTAGGGAATACAAGAGTGGAACAGTCCACTTGTCATTTCCATCATAACTGTGTCACATGTAATGGTGGGAGCATATTGTTGATGTACAATGTTATAAAGATGATTTATGTCACCTATCACAATGTTTGATAACCACAGTGCAATTGGTTGGCTAACCATTAGGTTAGGTTTAGTTGGTAGCTCTCTCATTCTGGTCCGAAGGTTGTGGGTTGGGTTAAAACTCCACACTGCAATGTGAGTTCATCATCTACTCCAGTCCAGATGATCTGCCACATGTGTCCTTCAAATGAAAAGTTAAACTAAGGTCCTATTTATTATTATTATTATATTCCTTATTATTATTATATTATTATTTGCCTGTTCTTCAGATGGACCTAAAACATCCAACAATACTCTTCAGAGCGAAGGGAGCTTATTCTGGTTGCAGGATTTGCCTACAAAAAGTTAGTGTACCTTACAGCAATTATTGTGAAGTGAATTTGACTTTATAAAATGCTTCAAAAATGCAAATCTACAATGCAAACATTATAAATTAAAATTAAACAACAAAAAACATTATGCAGCCCTTCTGAAGTGAAAGACACTATATCAATGTAATTTGTTGTTGTAAAATCTAAGACATGCATGTAAACAACTTCTAAAATTCCCATAACAAAGTGAAAAACAATTAACTACAATGCACAGTAATGCTATACAATTTTTTTCTACACTTTTATATATTTGGTCTTACACATTTTAAATTGCTCTGCTAGGTTTTGCTAGGTTTTGCAGCACAGTTCAAAGTTGTGCATTTTATTGCATTCTAAATTCAATGCAAGGTCAAGGACTGATTTGCTGGAGCATAGCCTGTGGAAGTTTGACTGTTGCTTCTCTAATACGAATGAGTGTAAAAAACTTGCTTTTAAATTTAAAACCATGTCTTCTTCAGTCAAGCTGTAGGGATAGTTCATATGTCATCCTTCAATTCTAGGACTTACTTGGGTATGTATCGAGCTGAAATTGACAAGTGAAGGTCTTGTCTCATTTTGCCAGCTGTAAATGGTACATCAAATCGATCTGGTAGTCTCAACCCAATTCCTTGTGGGCATGGGCCCATGCTATAAGACTAGCCCATGATTCAACACAATTTGGCAAACTCACTCAAGGAAACGTGAGGATGACAGCAGTGGGATGTAGAAATTCACACTGGTGTATTAGGAGATGTTCCTCTGGTGTGATTGATGTGACACTTTGTTGAAGAAAAATAGACAGTTTTTTCTCTAAGTTCTGCAGTAATTTCTAAATCCTAAAATAATGCTGACCTAGGAATGCTTGATGGTGAGAGAGATGCTTAAAGTGGAAACATATTCCATTCCCCAGCTGCAATAATTCCTCACCTGATGAACAGAGACTCACAAAAATGAAAACTTTTCTTTAAATTAGGGTTATGTTATAGGCATATTATTTGTGTTTTCCTATCTAATTGTAAATTATGAATGCTCGATACTAATTGGTTCTGAAAGTATACGTGCGTACAGTTGAATAATTTATGTTTTGCAATTGTATTTTTAATAGCAGTCTCTGCTATTAATATCAACAAAATGATTATAAGAATATAACTAAAATGTTCAGCACCACAATTCCGAATTATACGTCTATAAATCCACCTTTGGTCAGGGAACCAGAATAGACAGTGGCTTGTTTAAATAGCAGCAGTATTTCAGAAGCAATACACACTGCCATATTATTTATTATAGCTTGCATTGTAGCTGCAAGGTTTCTTGGAAACTATGCCTAGCACAACTTGAAGCTATTTTTTGCCAAGGTTTGATATCATTTCAGAAATTTCATTATTTTCTTAAGCGAAAAAAAATCAATCTGTTGACTGATAGAATAGCTTCAACGTTAACATTCCAATGATCCCCACTGTAACACTGAGACGTCCCTGACAGTAACTACATCAGATGTTTTGCTTTGTCATATCAAGTATTTGCCAGTTATGTAACGAACATTTATGGAGGCTTGTCTCTGCAGACTTGTAGTCATTCGAATATAATGAGCCCATTTATGTACTGAAGCAACATATTGTCAAATTCTACCTAGTTGCACTTAAGCACTGGGTCAGCCAGGAGGGAATCAGCTTCAGGGTTTCAGGCTCATAGTTGTTAGTTTTACATCAGTGCTCCCTAATAAACTGATGAGGAATAAATAAACTCATTATACCAGAATGTGACTTGAATCCAAAGAAAACTGCTATTTAAGAGTATAAGATTGCCAAATAGGGTGAATAAGGTATTAATCTACTATTGTAACAATTAATAATCCTTGCATTTGAAATCCTTACATCCTTTGCATTTCCACATTGAAGCATCTCAAAGTGTTTTCTGCAGTTTTTCTGTAATGTGTTTTATTTACTTTAAAGTGTAGTGACTGTGTATTTGTAGGCGAACTATACCTTAATCTTCATTGGCAACCATGTAGTTTTTAATTGGCAAAGGAAAATGTTTTGTCTATCTCATTATATAGAACATACAAAGATGTAGCATACTAGTAATCTGTTTTGTAATTCTGAATTTATTTACAATTGTAGATAGAGTTCATCAGTTTTAACACAATATTATTCTAATGCATCTGCAAATTGAGATGAGTTAAATACATTCACATTGGAATATAATCATGATTCCAGCAACATGATTTGCAAATTAGGGAAATTTGTTTGCAAAATATTTAAAAGCAATTTAGGTCATCTTCTGCACAGTATAAATTTGGCAAAGATTTCTATTGTTATTATGGGAATAAATATTGGTTTACACTAGCAATATTGTGCTACAATACAGGCAAAATAAATTGGGAATGGGCCACATTTGTAGCACTTAACTTCGACATTCTAAATTATTTCATGCCTATTTTATTGGGAAAAAATAGTGTGAGAGTAGCATAGGATGAACCCAAATGACTTTCAGTTCTTTATTAGTACAATACGATTTTTATTTTATGTACTGTTCTGATGTGATAGTACCATGTGGCAATGACAGCCAATTAGGAATATAGGAACAGGAGGAGGTCATTAAGACCACTGATCCTTTACCTCCAGTTTCATAAATTATGGCTAGTTGTGTAAGCCCATTTCCTCATTTCTTCCTTAATTCTGATTCTGCCTCTTCTGCCTTTTGGACCAATGTGTCCAAATTTTCACGATCTACTTTATGAAAAAAAATGTTTTCTGCTTTGACTTCTAAGATTTTTTAGTCCTAATTTCAAGATTATGACCCTTTGTTTTGGATTTCTCTGACAGAAAGAAGAGTCCTTTTTAGCTTGTCAGATCGATTTCATTATTTTATTCGCCCACAAAATACACAGTTATGACATTTTATAGTATATTCTGTGAAGCGCTTTGAGATGCTTCAATAATATGATAAGACACTATATCAAATGCAAGGATTATTATTATTATTAAATCATGTGATGCACTTAGAGACATCCTCCCAACGTTAAAGGTAATATATTAAAACCCTCGTCTTCAACTGAGCCTTCGGCCATCCTCCACCCTCCTCGATTCCGACCCCAGCTCGGGTCCAAATCCTTGACTGTCTAGCACTTTGGGATGTTCTCCCAACATGAAAGGTGTTATACAAATGCAATTTTCTATTGCATAGTGTTGTAAATTCAAGGATTATTATCATCAAACACCTCAGTCAGATCACCCCTTCACCTCTTCTGATAAAAGGAACATAATCTATGTCTATCTGGCCTCACATCATAACTGAACCCTTTTAATCCAAATATTAAACCAATGAATCAGCTCTGAACACCACCTAAGGCTAGTATATTCTTCTTAAAGTCATTTGCCCTAATCTGAGCACTGTGCTCCAAGTGAGGTCCAATCACTACTTTATATAGGTAGTGCAGCACTAACTTACATCCTTTTGTATTGTAGACACTGTTTTATTAAGACAAGCATATCTTTCACTTACAATTTGCCTTTAATAATAATAATAATCCTTGCGTTTAATATAATGCCTAATCATATTGTCAAGATGTACTCAAAGCACCTCACATAATTTTATTGTGAAGCGTACACATAACGTAACATAACATGTAGGAGCAGGAGTAGGCCATTCGGCCCTTCGAGCCTGCCCCGCCATTCAATCATGGCT